CATTTGAGGGATATAGGTGATCATGTTAAATTATTGTGTTTTTAATTGTAAATGTAATTCGTTGCATTTTCATGTTTTGCCAAAGGATTCAATTCGGTACGTATATTTTTGGTGCAGAATTAAGTAATGATAACTTTAACTAATTTAATTTATATTTAATTTTGGACATTTTTAAGAAATATAACAAAAAATATCAGTTGTACATACATAACCTTAAATTCAAATTTTTATATTTTAGTCTCAAAAAACGCCGACAACTGCATTTTAAAATAGTAAATGACAAAATATATCTACGAATACATGGCAACATAATATTATGTATAATACATGATATAAAACCCGCTTTTCAACGCTGTTAATAATGCATAACGCCGTTTGGATTAAAAAGACTTATTGGTTTTATGATTTTTACTGAATTGAAATGTTTACAATTTTTACGTAAATCATTACTATAATTGTATCTAATAAGTACAATTTATATTTACAGGGACTGTATGCAATTTATTTATCAATTCGGATTTCCACTGTTTATTGGAAAACCGGTAAAAACTAAACCCAGGATTTTATTTTCAAAAACACCCAACAGCGCAAAAAATGGATTGTTAATTCATTGCATAAAAGTATAGTATACCCTATGAATAATGGAAAAGTCCAAAAATAAACAAGAATTTTGCTAATTATGTATTTAGATTAAAAGTAGACCTCGAGACACATAACACATAAACATAATAAATTGTATTTTAGGGCAAGATTAATATTCTTGATAAATATAAGTACCTATATTTTTTTATCAAACAATCCATTAATTAAAATATTAAATTATATCACGCATTCACGAAAATTTGTCACGAATTTCTTGTTTACATTTTGGGTTTGGTTTTCGGATTAAATCACCGGAACATGATTGAACGTAGAAAAATGTTAAGCTTTGGTTTTTAATTTTTCCCCACAAATTCTTGGAAAATAAACAAGTACACAAAGTCCAGAAAAATTTTAAACTTTTAAATCTATTTTTTTTTTCGAATGTTATGACTTTTACGAAATTTTTTTTATATTGAACACACATTTTTCTGTTTTTTTCTTGCATAAAGACCAAATTAAATTTGCCTCAGCGGGATTTGAAAACCTCGATACACGTTTGCATCAACCAAATCGAAAAACTTCCAATTGGATTTGTTTCACGCCGAAAATAGAAATATACGTTATAAACAATGCGAAGTGACGTACGAATTTCGCAAATCCATATATAACACACTCCTGCAAAACATAATATGCGTGAATCAATTTTGCATCCAGAACACCGAGACCATGGTAATACATTACATTAGTAAGTTTCAAAATTTTTATAATATATAACTTCAAAATATTTATTTATTTCTATTATATTTATATTATGGCAATACGTCTGTCATTAAAATTTTAAAAATCCTAATTAATTTTTTTTTAAATTTATTGTGACAAATATTAACTTTTAAGTATTTATTTAACGTTTAGTTTGTTCGTCTGAACATAAAATTCTATATAAACATAACTGTATATATGTTAAACAATAAAAATTTTATATGATGACATAAAAGTGTGGCGGTAAAACAAAGATTATACTCTAAAATAAACTGCAAAATCTGAAAAATATTTAAAAACTAAAAAGTTATGTCATTTTTACACTGGAACTACAAAGTGCAAATAATCTTATGCATAAGAAAATGTTTAAAATTGACCTTTGATTTTTTTTATGTTGCTACGAAAGACACTGACTAAAATAAAAAACGATGACGACAAAGTTTTTCTTAAAAAAAAAGAGAATTTTTAAGTGGCCAATTCTTATGTAAAATTGTCCCCTGAATCTGAAAATGCCGTCAAAAATTATGAAAGTAGAGCAGTTTTGAAGTTATAGTCAATTCCATATTAAATGGAAAATTGACTATATCTCAAAAACTGTTCTATACAAATTACTATTGACGAGAATTATTAGTGGCTGCTTTTTCGCTATGACAATTAGTCATTTTTGACTAATTCATTTATAGAGAGTGGGTAGTGCTGACGCTAACACTACAGCTAAAAAGCAAAAAAAAAATTTAAATTGAATTTGAAAATTAATAAAACATGCACACATATTTTGTATTAATTGAATTCTATTAGAATCGTTTCTAGTAAGACAATCACCATAAACGTTCTTTAGGCTCTTAATAGGCTGCAACTGAATTTTTCCTTCCAAATATGAAAACCTGTGACTTCTCAGGATTAATATTAGACAGTGATTTTAAGATTGCCCAATTAAGAATTGTATATCTTTGTTTAAACAATTAATTGCATTTTAATTATTTTACGAATGGAAGGAATCTGAGTATTATCAGCATCAAGTGGTGGTTGCAAGACTTAATATATCCAGGAAGATTGGACGTATAAATAGTATAAACCAGAGGTCCAAGGAGCCCTAAAAAACTCCACGTGTAATATTAAATGAATCCGATAATATATATTATAGTTTAACTACTTCATATATATTATTTAAATAACTTTTATCGTTATGGCCAAATCTAATACATTTTAAAATTACCAACAAAAGACTGTGATTAATACTGTCAAGAACCTTGAAATAGTCTAAAAGTACCAACACCAATCTTATTCTGATCAATTGCTTTTAAAATGTCAGTTACTTTTAAAACTTTTATAGCACAACTGTGATCCAATCTAAACTCTGATTGAACAGTAGGTAATAAATGAAATTAATTTAAATAGTTTGTAATCTGCTTACTCATTACCTTTTCCGAAACCTTTGACAGAACCGGAAGTATACTGATAGGTCTAAGATCCTTATAATCTAGAGGGTTTGAGATTTTTGGAATTGGAATCACAATATAAGTTTTTCATAAATCGGAAAAAGAATTAACTTAAATCAAGAGTTTATTATGTGGATAATAATACACTCACAGGCAAAATAATCGATCCACACAAATTTTCGATGAATTTCAATCGCAAATAACTTTTTTATTTGATGTCGGATTTAAACGAATATTAAAGAATATTGTATATAAATTAATGGACAATCGCTCATTTTAAAAAATTACTAAAAAATTGACGTACGTTTATAATATACAGGTTTAAACAAAAAGATGTTTTTTACCATAAGTTTAAGACACTCTGTGGAGTGGCAAAACCGTATATTGTTCTAAATTAAGTTTTATTTATTAAGTCACATCTATTCTTAACAGTTTTGTTTTTGGTTCACCTCGATATATTTTTTTTTAGAAAACATTGCAATTTCCAATATTTTTCTGTATGAAGAATTAAGGTTGCTATGGTCCATCCATAGGCTATGAAGAATGACAGTGACAGTTTTGTTGAATCATACCATACTTGGACATGTCATACACGGCTTTCAAAGGCTATCAAATTGTATTTTGCAAATTAATGTTTAAATTTTAAGGTGTCTTCTTACTTTAAAAAATGGATATGTCTCCGACTCATGTTGCCAGAGCCATTAATTTAATCCAGGATGGACGGTCACAGTATTACTTGGCAAGTGTTTTAAACATCACAAGAAGTAAAGTACAAAGGGCAACATCAGTCGGAGACATTTTTAAAAGTAAGAAGACACCTCAAAATTAATACATTAATTTACAAAAAACAATTTGATAGCTTTTGAAAGCTGTATTTGACATGTCCAAGTATGGGATGATTCAACAAAACTGTCACTGTCATCCTCCATAGGCTATGGATGGACCATAGCAACCTTCGTTGCAATGTTTTTTAAAGAAATCCATATTTTTCACAAAAATAAATATATCAAGGTTAAGTTAACCTTGATATATTTATTAACCTTGTTAACCAAAAACAAAACTGTTAAAAATAGATCTGACTTGATAATTAAAACTTAATTTAGAACAATATTCGGTTTTGCCACTCTACAGAGTGTCTTAAACTTATGGTAAAAAACCTTTTTGTTTAAACCTGTATATTATAAACGTACGTGTATTTTTTAGTAATTTTTAAAATGTGAGCGATTCTCCATTAATGTATTTACAATATTCTTTAATATTTGTTTAAATCCGAAATCAAATAAAAAAGTTATTTGCCATTGAAATTCATTGTGTGGATCGATTATTTTACCTGTGAGTGTAGAAACAACGATTTAAAAAAAAATTTCGTCAGGCACCAATTTGAATGTGAAATTACCAACATTTGGTCTAGTGTTATTGAAATAAAAATTAAAACTCTCTATATCATCTTCTAAATTTAACTGCGTTATACTTGCAAAGTATTTATTAATTCTGAAGGTGTAGGGGTATTTCACCATGGTGATTGCTTGTTATTGATGTTTAAGGATTTTGTATTATTTTTTTTAAATTTATACTTCAAAAAAGCTTTCTTTTCATTTCTTATAGACATGTTTGCAAAGTTTCTCATTTCCTTGTAATACATCCAATTTTCCTGGAATTTATTTTTCTTATACTTTCTCATCTCTCAGTGAGAAAATTAATTTTAAATTATCTGTTAGCCAGGGTTTCTTGGGTTTATTTGCAGAAAACGTTTTAATTGGTGCATGAACATTAAATAGGTTTATTAAGTACAAATTAAATATTTTGATGACAATGATAAAAAAAAGCATGAAGCATCCAAAATCCTATGGAAAATTATCATACCATGGGAAATATTACTACTGAAAGTGATGATGTTCTTATTAATGAAGGAATATGCAAAATTGCAGAATTCCTGAAAGTACCACTCGAGAACTGGCCATCTGATCCGGTTTCCTTAAAATTTCGTGAAAAGTGTTCTAAGATGGGAGTTTTTAATAATACTGCCGAATCAGCTTTATTCAAAAATACAACCAAGGAGAAGTTTGTGTTTTTAGTTATATTAGTGTTTCATATTATTAATTTCCAAAATGAGCAACATCTCAAAGAATTAAAAAAAAATTGAGTAGACAAAATACCTTTGACCACCGTAGTATCCACCAGTATTTTAATATTTAAATACATTGTAAAAAAAAATCATATTTACATACCTTGTACGGGCGCATAAATATTCAAATACAAGCAATCCTCGCTCTGCTCCTGTAAATAAGGCAACAACCTCTTCAAGTACTCCAGCCTGCCTCTTGGCATCCTCTTGAGCGCGGCCGTTTCGTTCGCGATATCGGGAAGACGTTGAGGACAAACCGGACTGAACTTGTCGGCGATTTTCACGCCCGACCACAGTGCCCCCGTGACGGGGGGCATGAACCTCAAACTGCCCAGCGGCGGAGATGCATACGGGATACCTCTGAACACCTCCACAGGTTCCAAATGTTTTGACTCGAGGGTCACGATGACCCCGCTCACGTCGCCGTATTTCGTACGCACTGTTCTTGAGGTTAGGGAGTTTTGCTGCTCGCCGGAGGTGTAGTAAATTAATATTAAAGCGATTATTAGTAAGGTTATGTGTATTGCCATTGTGGGGGTTATTTATTTGGCAAGCATGTTAGGACACTAAATCACCAAACACTTTGTTTTAAATAGCGCACTTTAATTTAACCCTATCCCGCGGTACAGTGCAATTTTTCCTCCGGATGGACATTATTTGAAATTTCGAAACGTGTCTCGCACGATTTCCCTGAAAGAACCGCGCCGCGTGCTTCGCTCTTTCGGGGTCCTGAAAACAGACTGGCCTAAGTCGGGCCGGATGAAATCCTGCGCATGCAGCGCCCCCACGTTGCGCACGGCGTTTTCCCGAACTGACGTTCGATTTGCTAATTTACGAAGAAAATGTGCTGTAATTCGTGGGAGAGTCTGTCAAATCAAAAATAAAGAACGAGACGTATGTATTCAAAGGGAGTACAGAAGGGTTGTATTGTGTATACACAATAAACAACATGAGTTTCTGGGTCATGACTATATCAGGGTTTAAGGTAATTAAAGAGTTTATTGGACATTTTCAAAAAAGATTTTTTTGCAATAAATCTATCAAATGCATTCTTGAACTTTAGAGCTTAAGAATGCATTTTTGGAATGACACTGTTATTGCCTCAGGTTTAAAAATTTATAACAAAATCCAAAAATAATATACAGGGTGTTTTACATTCGTGGTCCATTAGAAGTTTCTGCGGAACGAAAAAAAAAACAAGTTGAAATTTTAAAAGCGTTTATTTAAGTCATTTTTGTCAATTATTTTACGTTTTTCAACAAATTACCTAAGAAAATCCAGGGAAAATTGGGCTAACTTGAAAGATTGATAACTTTTTATTTTAAATGTTACATAATGTTTTATAATTAAGTGTTATGTTAACAATATTACTGATAAAAATATCCGCCAGTGACTTATAAAAATCATTGTTAAGCTAAACTTTTTAAAAATTTAAAAGTTTTACAAAAAGGATATGCTAATTAAAAAAAAAAACTCAACAAAGCTGTAGGATGTCACTAGCCCATTAGAGACAATAAAATATTAAATTGTCCTCCATTTTCATTCAAGAATTTCTTAATTCTTGCTTTTAAATTAGACGTTGCTTTTCTTGACTAAAATATTGTTGGTTTATTAAATTGTTTTAGTTATAACCACCTGAAAAATTAACGTCATTAAATTTTCAACAATGACAGATTGCGTGGTAACCATAGATACCGTCAATTTACCCATCAGTTTTCTTGATACAATATTTTATTTAAAATTGTTAAATATCTCTTAAATTATGAACTTTAAATATAGCTATATAGGAAATAGACACATCAATTGATTTTTATTTTTTAATTAACTATATAAAATTATTGGGTGAATATAGTGAGAAGTCCCCCAAGTGAAAATGATTATTTTTATTAAATAAGTTATTGTATCTTTTGAAACCTTAACATTTTTTAAAAATACAATTGTACATACAAAATATTTATAAAAAAAATCTACTTACTGGGATATTACACTTCACGGTGGATAGGTTTTTAAATAGAAAATTAATGAACTTAAACTTTTGAATTATAAAACAGCAACACTCTCATCTGCATATAAATTCTAACTGACCTTCAGGAATCACATGCATCTATAATGTCGTAAACAGAGGTTTTGCTTATTTAAAATGATTAAAGCGCCATCCGTTGCATAAAATTTAAAGCAAAAACAGATTCACGAATGATAGAATCAATTTTTGTATTACCTACATAAAAGGGTATAAAAATTAGTTCGTTTAATTTTTAATAATATTTTATATTTGATTCGATTGCTTTGGATGGATGAGGGACACCCTGTAGATTCTAAATAACTGTTTTTTGTCTATTCGTAATTTTCGGGGTTTTTATGATTTTTTTAGCACATGTGCGTCTAGACGAATTTTATTTTAATTTACTTAGTGAACAATGGTCTCATATCCACTCTTTTGTAACAAAAGAACGTAAAACGGGTAATTTAAATTAACGCAACATAATAATGTGTTTGTGTAAATATATCCTCTCATTAAAACCCTTTTTTTCAGGGTATTAATTAATTTTATAAAACCTTCATTTGGACTTTGTATCGTTAAAATTTATACGCTTGAGCCAAAGTTAATTTTGTGCTAAAAATATGTTTTTCCACTCCCACCTTTAAAAATGTGCGTTATTTCTAAAAAAAAATATTTTTATATTATTTTATTATTTTTCTATTCCCAAATTGTCAAATGTCATAGAATCGTTAAAATAAAGTGCCTTTTTTGTAAAATAATACTAAATATGAAAATTATTTTATTATCTCGATACAAAAATACAAACGTTTTAAATAGTTTCCCAACGCCAATATTTGGAAAATTTATATGAACAGTAAACTAGATTAAACTTAATTTTGGGTGGAGGTTGCCTAAAAAACATTTTCTTCACTTTCACTGTGAAAAACTTTTTTTGGCCCATTTTTTAGGGATACATGAGTAATAATAATAATAATAATAATAATAATAATAGTTTATTAGCATCATACATATAAATACATGTTTAGGCAGTCATAAAAAGGTACATAAGTATTTAAGAAATAAAAGTTGACTATGTGTTGAACAAACAAAATTATATACAAGTTTTAACATATTTTAAAAAGCAGTGAAAAATAAAATATACATAAAACATTTACAAGTAGGTATACATAATTAAAATAACAAAACAAGTTAAAACAATCGGTGCCCAATCAATCATAAAACAAATTAAAATTATAATTAAGATAATCAGACGTGGAATAAAAACTGTGCTTTAAAAGAAATGATTTTAATACCACTTTGAATTGTTTAAAACTTAAATCTCTCACGGACTGTGGAAGTTTATTAAAAAACATTGGACCATAATAATTTATGCCATTTCGGCTTCTGTTAAGTCTATGAAAATTTAAATGAATATCACCAGAGTTTCGCATATTGACACTACTTTCTTGCCTTCGGGTATTAAACAAATGCAAATTACTTTTAACATACAACAAACAATTTAAAACATATGTACAGGGTAATGTTAAAATTCCTAACTCCTGAAAGGCAGCTTTGCAATCATCTCTATAGTTTATCCTTTTTAGAATCCGTACAACTTTTCTTTGGAGTCCAAATATACGTTGGCTATGAGAGGAATGTCCCCAAACCAGAATTCCGTAGCTCATTTTTGAATGAAACAAAGCAAAGTAGGCACATTTTAGGACATTTTCCGAGACCATCAAGCTCAGGCGCCTCAGCAAATATACACATGAAGACAAAGACCTTGACACATCATCTACGTGTGCAGCCCAAGTCAGCCCCGAATCAAGCCTTAGACCCAGAAAAACAACTGAATCTATTTCGTTGGGGCACGGAAGCTGACGCAGAGAAAAGTAGAAGGTCTTTGTCTTTTCCAAATTTAAGCACAATCCGTTACAAGCAAACCATGAGCTTAATTTTGACTGGGTTTCAAGCATTTTCAGACTCACATTCTCAAATGATTTATTTTTTACCACTGCTGTTGTATCATCAGCAAATAAAAATAATTTTAAAGCCGGTAGATCCACTGGTAGGCTATTAATAAAGATTAAAAATAAAATCGGTCCAAGAACCGAGCCTTGAGGTACTCCAAGATTCAAAGGTAAAACGTCAGATACTGTATTGTTAACTTGGACCATTTGATATCTATTCGATAAAAAAGAAGACATCAGTGACACAGCACTATCTGAGAAATTATACATTTCCAATCGTTCAAGTAGGATTTTCCTTGAAACGCAGTCAAAAGCCTTTGACAAGTCACAAAAAACAGTACCCGTAAAACTTCCCTCCTCAAATGAGCCACATATGAACTCGGCTAGGTGACTTACTGCAATGCTTGTAGATAAGTTTTGTCGAAAACCATACTGTGACGTTGAAAAAAGGTTAAACGTTTCAAAATAATTTGCAACTTGTTTTGCTAATGCCTTCTCAAAAATCTTACTTAAAATAGGTGTTATAGAAATTGGCCTATAGTTATTAAGTTCATTAATGTCGCCCTTCTTATGCAAAGGTAAAACCCTGGAAATATTAAGGCTTAAGGGATATTCCCCTTTTAAAATTGATTCGTTAAATAATTTGCATAGTGGATAGATGATTAGGTGAACAATTGATTTAAGCATTTTTGAATTCAACCTATAAACATCCATGCATCGGGAATCCTTAAGTTGCACAATTATATCTCTTAGGACATTAAAAGTTATTAAAGAAAACTTAAAATTATTAAGATTTTTTTTAATGTTATTGCTCAAGACAGGTTGAGAAATGGCTGGCAAATTGTTTACTATATTATTAGCAACATTTGTAAAAAATAAATTAAATTCATTAGCATTAATGCTTGTTGGAGTTGATACAGTATATTTTTTCCCCTGATTTTCATTAATAATTTGCCACACTGCCTTACATTTGTTATTGGCATTGGCAATAAAACTATTATTTGAATCTCGTTTGGCTGTTTTAATATCTGATCTATATTCACGCTTTAAACGTTTAAGCTCAGTAAATGCATAAGGGTCTCCAGTATAATTATAAGCATCTCTTAAAAAGTTTAATTTTTCACGTTTTTCCCTTAATGAATCATCGAATACAGATTCCCAAGTTGGTTACTCTATTGTTTTATAGATATCTCTCTATATAAATTTTTTATTTAAATAATTTTTTAAATATTTGTCTTTTATAAATAATTAATTTAAATTCGTGACTAAAATGACGTTTATCAAACTTAATACTATTTTTTAAGGATATTAAGATTAACATAATAATTGATTACAACACAGCAAATATTAACCAGATTTTATGTTAAAGTCCACTTAACTTTATGTTAAGTTTACAACAAACTGTAATCTGTTAACTTATTGATTAAGTAGTTTGTATTTATAACAAACATTTTGTAGATTTAATAACAAAATCCTATATCAATAATTAAACCATTATTCTTGTAATTTTCAAAAAGGACCTTATTTTAAAAAAAACTTTCTGTAGCCCCAGTAACAAAAGTATTTAATGGAAATTGGTAACTTAAATAAAAAAAAATTGATAAGAAATGTTGCTTTATTAATCAATTTGAATGCTTGAATATTTAAAGAAAAAATATAAGAATTTTCTCGGTATAACAAAATAAAAATATTAATTGTTATTAACTTTTTTTAATTAAAAACAAGAATAAAACGCATACTTTAGAATCACAAAAAAGCAGTATTAGAGAGAG